ACTCTTCATCTCAGGGTTGAGAGTTCAAGCCCCACGCTGGGTGCAGAGAGGACTTAAAAATAAATAAACTTGGGGCACCGGGGCGGCTCCGCCGGAGAAGCAGCCAACTCTTGATTGCAGCTCAGGGCCATGAGATCAAGCCCTGTGCAGGGGCTCTGCTGGGGCGTGGAGCCTGCTCAGAATTCTCTCAGAAATCTCCTCCACCTCTTCCTTTGCCCCGCCTCCCACCCCTGCTTGCCCTCTTTCTCTAAAAACAAACAAACAAAACCCAACAGGTGCACTGATGAACTGATGATTTCATACCTGCCTACCGGAGCTCCTCAAAGGCAGGCTATCCGGGGAATGATCAAAAGATGCTTTTTTCTTGGTCCTCCTCCGTGGTGTTGCCATTGCTTCAGAAAATCTTCAAAAACAAAATTAAATCAAATAAGTAAACAGTAACACTTTCAGCACTCTGGAGCAAAGTTATTATGTGGTTTCCCAGGTAAGAGCATATGCTCTGCGGTCAGACTGCCTAGTGTGAAGCCCCTGCTTTCAAGGTCCTTAATCTAAGACCAAGCCTCAGTGTTCCCACATGTAAAGTGGGCACAAGTGTGAACTCTAGTAGTGGTGTGAAGAGAAAGATTATTTAAAGCACCAGACCTAGCATGCTATAAGTACTTAATAAATGCTGTCCATTCGTAGTATATACATTTAAAAATGTAAAAATAAGAACCACCACACAGATGACCAATAAACCAATTATACTGTTTCTCAACTTCGGTGAGTGAAAACACCTGGTCTTCGTCTGTTCCTCTCCCTCTGTGTCTTCTCAGTAGCGCCTAAAATTTGATCTTATTACACTTTACAAAGAAAACTCACTTGCTCCCTCTCAGTACAATCTCAGGCACACTGTCCGGTCACTACTGAATTTAGGAATCTGGGTTAGACAGTCACTGGTATCTTCTACTAGAAAAATTTACCATCTTTCAAACTGGCTTAACAACAGCGCAATTAAATAAGCATTAAGAACTAAAATCTGTAAGAAAAGTCATGCATAGTAACCATGAAAGATAAAGTATTATTGAATTAGTATTTCTCAATTAAATAAAAAATAAAAATGCTTACCATAAGTATGCAATAACATACAGATTTTACAATCATCACAATTCCTTCCCTGATCTGTGCATTTACCCCCCACACACACAATAACATGAAAATAGGACATACCTATGGGTAAGGAATTTGAAAGTGGGAAAGTGTTATAAGTTACAAATTCCACAAATATAATCTTCACCTTGGAGGTCCTTGAAATCCTACTGTTTTGTATCCGTGAGTTGTACCAACATTCATGAGAGCATTTTTCATGGATTATTAACAACACATGTGAAAACTTCTTCCCCACCTACACTGACTTTGAGAAATCCTGACGTTGGTGATAAAGAGGGCCTTCCTCTAACTCGGTCTTCACTTTCTCAATACTACTAATTTAGTTATGAACACAAAAACCCTACACATGTTGTGAAATGCATTAGAATTAAGCATTAGATAAGTTGCCTTTTGGTTCTATATCACTCATTATACTGGATAAGGCACCCCTGATGTAAACAGAACTACTGTGTACCTGTAATTCTTACACCCAAAGGCTTTCTGGATCACATTTACATTTTCAAAAGGCTGTCCAATCTAACAAATCCCTTTATATAATACATATATTCCACATTATTCATAAAATGAGCCACAAAGCACATGTAAATATATATATATTTACAAGTGTGTGTGTGTATATACACATACATAGTATATCTAAATGTATACTATGTGTAAGGATTGCAGCAAAAATATTTGAGTCTAATGTGGGGTTTGGGAGCATAAATATAACCAGCCTCGTTTCATGCAACATTTGGCCCTGTCATGTAGGAATACTGGCAACTCAAAAGGAAGCATAGTTTCCAGAAATTTCAACAAACATTTTAATCCAAATGTGTACTGGAAATTATTTATTTAACTGCAATGAAGAATGATATAATTCAAGAAACTAAGAGGAAAGGAAAACATTAACTATAAAAGCCACTGTTAAATCTGTGTTGTCTAGGAAAAACATAAGATTTTTTTTTAGTGTTCGTACACTTTCACCTTTAATTATATAATTCACAGTGATATTCCCTCACCCTTTTTTTTTTAAATTTTATTTATTTATTTGACAGAGAGATAGATCACAAGCAGGCAGAGAGTCAGGCAGAGAGGGGGGATGCAGGCTCCCTGAGGAGCGAGCCGGATGCGGGACTAGATCCCAGCACCCTGAGATCATGACCTGAGCTGAAGGCAGAGGCTTTAACCCACTGAGCCACCCAGGCGCCCCTCCCTCATCCTTTTCTGACACTATAATTTCTGTTTTCACTATTGTTGGGGTTTGGAGCTTACAATGAGGGGAAAAATTGTTAAGTTGGAAGAACTACCACTTTTGTGTTTGTCAACATAATCTTAGAAATACTTAGCACAAGTGCTAACAAACTAGCATACTCAAAGTGCTCTCCCCTTGTTTTTCAAACTGATAAACACACCTAACTAAATTTAACCAATCTGTTTCATGTTCAATATCATTATGTAAGCATATCTCCTCTTAATTTTAAGTGCGTAGCTTTGGTTTTCTTTTAAAGTGACAAAAAAGAAAAAAGTGAGTTTTGGGGGGGGGAGATAAATATATACACGGATATAGCAATGTCTCGATTTCTATTTTAATAATTCCCAGGGTTTTTTCTGAAGTAGCTTATTGATCATTTGATTAAAAAACAAAAACAAAAACAAAAAAACCACCCAGAATTCACAAAAACATGAATCCAAAAGACTTCAGGCCAGAATAAAAATGTAGAGTGGCACAAGCAACATGTCTAAAAATGAGATAAACTACCAGAAACTTCTTCAGAGACAACAAAAACAAGAATTTCCCTCCGGGCCGCTGAAAATACGGCAGGACTAGCACCTTATTGTACCCACGCTAACCAAGTTTCCCGAAATATGGACCCCGTTCAACTGCCTGAATGCCTTCCTGACGACTTTCTGTGCCGGAAAGGCAATTTCGTTATTGATGGTCATTTTCTCCTGTATCTCCTGAAGAAACCTTCCCTCCCGCCCCTTCTTCCACTACAAGACATTAAAAACAACAAAAAACAGAAACACTGACGGAACAAAACTCAGCAGCCCTGAGCGGTGTGCGTACCTGCAGGGAGAGGGGCTCCCCCCAGGGAGCGGTCTGGGGGCGCCCGCCCCCCACCCCAGGGAGGGCTGGGCCTCCATCTGGCTCGGTTCCACATTACGGAACCTTAACTTTCTACAGCTGGGCCTGCCTCTCTTCCTTCCTCTTTCACCTGCCAGCTGCCGGGCTGCTGACGAGCAGCCCCGGTAATCGGGCCGCCCCCTCCCGGCGCCCGGGCCCGCAGGAGTCACCCCAGCAACCGGGCAGCGCCGCTCGCGTCCGAACGCGTGGTGGCCGCGCCGGAGCGTCCCTACTCCACCTGCGCGGCGGGGCGGGCTCCTCGCCGCCGCACCTCGGCTGGGAAGAGCCAGCCGGGGAGATCCCACCCCCGGACCGCGGGCTCCGCGCCGGCCGCACGCACTCCGCAGGTGACGGGGCTCTGACAGTCCCCAGGAGGGAGCCCCCACGTTCCCGGCGCCGGCGGCAGCCGCCTCGCCCTTCGAAGCGCTTTCTCGTCTCTTCCCCGAAGTCGGAGAAGCAACAGCCTCCGGGGCTCACCTTCGCGCGGGAGAGGTGCGCGGAGTCGGGACGAGAAGGCGCCGCCGCACAGAAAGGAGGCATTGGAGGGGCGTGCAGGGAGACCCTCAAACCCCGCGCCGGGTCGGGGAACCCCGTGGCCGCTACACGCCAGCCCAGGAATCCCCCTCCTCCCTCAGACCCCGCACCCCCCATCTAATCCCGGGAGGGCGGGGGCAGCCCCCGGTGCACCGCTCCACCTCCCACCCGGCCGAGGGGCGCCGCACAGACGGAGAAGGGCAGCCTGCACCCCAGCCAAGACGCTTTGTGCGGAGCTGTCACCCGAAACCCGCCGCCGCCCCCGCGCCCGCCCCCGGAGCCGCGTGCCCCGCACCTGGGAGCGCGGGCGAGACGCTGCGCGCCGCCCGGGGCTGCCGGCGCCCCTCCGGAGCCGCGCGCCGCGCGCACAGGACAGCAGGATCCGCGCCGCGAGCCGCAGCCCCCGCTCGGCCGCCGCCGCCGCCGCCGCCGCTTCCGCCCCTGTCACGGCGTGACCCGGGGTGGGAGGAGCCGGCGGGACCAGGGAGGAGTAGGGTCCCCGCCTTCGCCTCTGCCGCGGCGCTCGCCCCGCCCTGGCCATTTCCGCCGCTGCGCAAGCCGGGGCGCCTGGGGCGGGGGGCGGGGTCTGTGCGGGGGGAGGGGGCGGGCCCGGGGGCGGGGCGGGGGCGGGGCGCGCGGGCCCTACCCTGGGGGCCCGCGGCGGCGCCGGAACCAGCTGCAGGCCGCTGGCCGCGCGCGAGGTAGGCTTCCCGGGGCGGAGAGAGGGTGCGGGAGAGTTGGCACGACTTCCTAGGGGCGAGCCTGGGATCGGATTCCGGACTGGGGTGTCCTGACGAGCGTGGGCAGCCCGGCAATCCGCGCCCTGAAATGGGGTTCAGGAAGCAGAATGGGACCTGGGAATAACAAGGTCGAGCAATGAATGACCTTTCTGAATTCATGATTTAAAGTGCCCCCCAAGCATCGTTGTGTATTAGTGGTTTTTAAGATAAGAGAAGGACTTGCTAAATAGTGAGTGATGCTCTGGGGGCGGGGGGAGAGTGGGGGTGGGGGAGTGGGAACCGGGGTGCTGTGAAGGTTCGGTCTTGCTCCAAGGTTGTTCGGCACGTGTATGCATATCTAAAAATTCACTGAGCCGTATCAAAATCTGCGCACTTTAGAGAAGTTATTATTCAATTTGACAACATTTAAAAATAAATCTAAAGCAGAAACGTGGTTTTTTTTTGAAAAAGTGAGAGAGGAAACCAGACTTGAGAGTCCATCGAAAGAGGACTTAGGGGGCCAAACTAGCACATCTGCTCCTTCCGTGTATGGGTAGGAACAGCTGTAAACTTCGTCTTTCCTGATTCTTATAACTTGCACCTTTAGCTTTTTATAGAAAGAAACTTGATCTTTCTCTCAAAAAGCACGCGGGCAAGTACACATTGAGATGCTATTAGAACACCTAAGAAATGGTTAAGTTATGTACATGATGTTAACTTACATTTCTAGTTTGTGTGAAAGGGATAGAATTGTCTAATTTCAGATTGCCCTGGCTCTGTGTTGAAATTATGCTTCCCTTTTAAGTAGAGAACTGGTTTATGAAGCCTTGAGCTCAGGTTCCAGAGTCTCTGGCTGACGTTGTAGATGGGAAAACTGTAACTCTTATCGCTTTTCCCTCCTCAATATAATCAGATACTTTCCTCTGACCTCTCAAATAACTGAGAGTCACCTCCTGACATCAACAGGGCCTTGCAAAAGCATTTTTTTTTTAAAGATTTTATTTATTTATTTGACAGACAGAGATCACAAGTAGGCAGAGAGGCAGGCAGAGAGAGAGAGGGGTGGAAGCAGGCTCCCTGCTGAGCAGAGAGCCTGATGCGGGGCTCGATCCCAGGACCCTGGGATCATGACCTGAGCTGAAGGCAGAGGCTTTTACCCACTGAGCCACCCAGGCGCCCCTGCAAAAGCATTTATTGACAAATATTTTCAGAAAAGAGAATTTATGTTCCCAAAGCCGGGGGGGGGGGGCTTCACCTTAACTCCTAAGCCCCCTGGAACCAAATTTTGCAGTAAAGGGAACTTTGCCTGAAATGCCTGCTTGTAGGTGATGTTTGCGATTCTCTGATAAATCATTAAATTAGATCTGCCAATAATAGCATGCTAGTATAATCTAAACCAAATTAGTTTCACTGATTCAAAGGGAATGTTAGAATTAATCAAGTTATATTGTCCTTAGTATTACAGAGTTCCCATTGAAAGGACAGACATTTTCCTCATACCTTCAGATAGATTTGCAGTTATGTTTAGGTGTCCTTTTTTTTCCCTCTGTTCCTTTGTGTGCATTTTCCCATGCAAAAAAGAAACTATGAGAAAATTATTTGAAAATGCAAACTTATGGAATAGAGATAGGACATCAAATCCACATATCTATTTTCACACCCTCTTGAAACCCCACTAGAACAACAACAACGTTTTTTCTTTTTCTTTTTTTTAAGATTTTATTTATTTATTTGACAGACAAAGATCACAAGTAGGCAGATAGGCAGTCAGAGAGAGGAGGAAGCAGGCTCCCCGCAGAGCAGAGAGCCCTATGCAGGGCTCGATCCCAGGAGCCTGGGATCATGAGCTGAGCCGAAGGCAGAGGCTTTAACCCACTGAGCCACCCAGGTGCCCCAACAACAATGTTTTTTAAAGGCATAAACCACTAGGGTAGAGAGAACAGATGAGGAGATAAATGCAATAAAATTTTGAAATCTAGAAAGCAGATGGACAAGTGGAAAAGGATTTTGCAGACTGAAGAAAGCTAAATTCTAAACTAGCAATGGGAACAGCCAATAAACATCCCTATTTGCATTATAGAATCCCCAAATGCTCAGGAATTAGAAGAGTTTCCTCCAGGACGTAGAAGGGTATGACTGAAACTAGAAACATTGCTTGAAATTCTGCTTCAGAAAAGGCTAAATCCCCAGATCTTTTCCCCAGCTTCCACAACAAGGTAACTGCCTGTCTCTTGTGGCGCCAGCAGAGTCTGGGGGAAGGCTTTATCCCCTGCAGAAGGTAAGGACTCTGGACAGGAGAGAGACAAATATATAGCTGGGGATTCGAGTACCATACTGAAAATGGAGACTGGTTGAAAACAGGTAAACTGAACGTTGGGACCCTCTGTCACTTCTATCCTTTCCTCATGTGGCCCCTAAGACTTGATCCTTACAATAGGGGTTGGGAGAGCCATCTATGGAAAGTCTGACCAGTCAATAATAATAATAATAATAACAACAACAACAACATCTGGGTTTCCACATGAAATCCACTCCTATCCTTACAATGAAGTTTACAGTCAGTGAGCCCACCCACATACTTAAACATCTAATCAGCTTTTCAGTACTACTCTTAAACAGGAACAGATAATAATAATTTTTAGGCATTTGAGGAAAGTCAGTAGTCGGAAAGACAGAAGACAAATTAACAGGAAAAGTGACTTGTAAGCAGCAGAATATGTAGAAAAGAGAAAATATATCCATTCTATATATGAAATAAGAAATTAATATAAAAAGAATGTCAGAAACAAAAAAATATGTTCTTGGGGCGCCTGGGTGGCTCAGTGGGTTAAAGCCTCTGCCTTCAGCTCAGCTCATGATCCCAGGGTCCTGGGATCAAGCCCTGCATAGGGCTCTCTGCTCTGCAGGGAGCCTGCTTCCTCTTCTCTCTCTCTCTCTGCCTGCCTCTCTGCCTACTTGTGATCTCAGTCTGTCAAATAAATAAATAAACTCTTTAAAAAATATATATGCTCTTGAAAATCAAAGACTTAATGGCGGGAAAGAAAAGGCAAATAAAAAGAAATTTTATTTAAAAATTAATAGAAAGGTAGTAAAATAAAAATTAAGGTGGTCTCAGAAAATAGAGCAACAAGATGAAGAGCTGGAAAATAGAAAAAAAAATATGAGAAATTTGTAATACTAGGTCATGAGGTTCTACTGGCAGAATAAAAGGGATCCTAGAAAGAAATAGAAACACAAGAGGGACATAAATCATCTAAATAATTCAGATTTTTTCCAGCATTGAGGGATATGACCTTCCAGATTCAAAGAACTCAGGAAAATGGTTGAAAACAGAAAGCAAAAAAGAAAGCATAGAATTATGAAATTGGAAAAGCTAGGGGCAAATAAAAGCCTTGCGAGAGAGGAAAGCATATTGGCCTCATGGACTACATCAGAATGTCTTTGAACTTAAGCAACATCTCTGGAAGCTAGAAGACAATGGAATGACTTTTTCGAAATTGTGAGAAAAAAATGATTTCTAACCGAGAATTCTATACCCATCAAAACCACCCATCAAAACGACTGATTGAGAACAGTATGAAGATATGCAAAGTCACAAAAACCTTTTTTCCTATGCCTCTTTTCCAGAAAGCTGTTGGAGGTCGTGTTTTCCCAGTGTAAGGACAGTTTAAAAAAAAAAAAAAAAAAGGAAAACATAGGATAAAAGAATCAGGAGGTTCATCAAAAGATAAAGAAATCTTCAGGGTGTTGATTGAGAGAGAGAATGCTAGCTATGCAATGAGTGTGGAAAGCACCCAGGTCTGGGAAGTCTCCTTCAAGAGGGTGATTTGGTAGAATATCTGATATCAAAGAAATTGAGAGTATTTTTTAAAAGATTTTATTTATTTATTTGACAGAGAGAGAGAGGTCACAAGTAGGCAGAGATAGAGAGGGAAGCAGGCTTCCTGCTGAGCAGAGAGCCTGATGTGGGGCTTGATCCCAGGACCCTGAGATCATGACCTGAGCTGAAGGCAGAGGCTTAACCCACCGAGCCACCCAGGTGCCCCGAGATTGAGAGTATTGATAGGGTTATTGGGGTAACTGGTAGAGCTTGGAGTTGAATTGGTAATGAGTACATAGGAATTTTATGAAGGAAAAAGCAAGGCAGTTATTGACTACAGAATAAAAAAATTGTACGCAAAAGGAAAAGTAACCATAGAATATTATGTGCTTTCACTGTGAATAGTATTTACCTGGTCATAGTCATGGTTACCCCAAATATTTAATCAAAAATAGGCTGTAGTCGGAGGAGCACGCAATTCTTGATCTTGGGGTTGGGAGTTTGAGCCCCAGGTTGGTTGGACAGCTTACTTAAATAAGTAAATAAATAAACTTTGAAAATAAATAGGCTGTGTCTATGTTGAAAGGCTGGGGAAAAGGAGAAGGTGGCATGTGTGTTGGGAAGTTGAAGGAGAGCAAAATGGGTATCATTTCTCCATGTTATCTAGAAATGAAAAATCAAGAAGATAGAAAATAAGCATGCTGTTCTGAGATACAGAGTTAGATTTCTAGACTCAGCTGAGTTCAAGATGGTTGCCTTTCTCATTCGAATGCGGGCTGCTATTTTCACAACTCTGGATCTCTTTCAGTCATATGCATTACAATGGCTAAAAAATAAGTCAGCTCGAAATGAAATGTTAAAAACTGAAGAGTGAGATGCTAGAGAAAATCCTAAACTTACAAAAATTATAAAGTGTAGTCTGCCTCTTTCTTTCTTTTTTCTTTCTTTTTTTTGTCCTCTCCTTTTAAAAAACTTAAGCCCTTAGGACTCTAACATTAAGATATAATTCTATTTATTTAAAGATCCTTCCTAATATGTAATAGGAGGTGTACCTCTACCATCAGACTCACTGAAAAGTAATTTTTCAGATGGCTTTTCTTTGGATGTGGAAATAATTTTAAAAGCCAGGCTGCTAAGGACAATAGGTTTGTATTTCATTCATCAGTAGACTTGCCATGCCCTTGAATGACAGTGATCCGAATATTCTCCGTACAGGTGTTGGAGCTCTCTGCTTGGAAGGCAAAGGCATCTCGGGAACCATGGAGGGTACAAGAACGTTCCTTGATGTTAAAGAGTACCCTGACCCAGAGGTACAGAGAGATCGAGTATTCACTCTGGAAGAATGGCAAGAAAAGTGGGTGAGCCGCAAAATTGGATTCCATCAGGAGCAAGGGCATCAGTAAGAAATGTTCAGTTTATGATAGAGTAACGTTCTATTAGAAACCGACTTTGGGGGGCCCCCTGGGTGGCTCAGTGGGTTAAAGCCTCTGCCCAGGCTCCTGGGATCGAGCCCCGCATCGGGCTCTCTGCTCAGCGGGGAGCCTGCTTCCTCCTCTCTCTCTCTCTGCCTACTTGTGATCTCTGTCTGTCAAATAAATAAATAAAATCTTCAAAAAAAAAAAAAAAAGAAACTGACTTTGGAAATAGAAATAGTAATTTAGGGACACATTATTGGACGGCTTTTACGAAGCATGTGTTTAGTTTTTCACGTTTTGGCGTCTCTGCCGTGTCACAGGTTGATGGGCAATCGTCTCTCTTCCCGGGGTGTATAAATAAGAGTGTGACTTGCATTTGCAGGTGTCTCAGATTTATGAAATGCATCTTTCTTTTAGGGCCCTGTAGCATCTGGGTATTGGTCATGCATATTTATATATACAGCGGAAGCCCGCATTTATGTATATATCTCTTTATACTGAAGAGTGGTGTTCTTTTTTTGTTCTTTTTCTTTTTCTTTTTTTTTTTTTTACAGAGAGAGGGAGTGAGCACGAGTGGGTAGGGCCAGAGGGAGAGGGAGAAGCAGGCTCCCCGCTGAGCAGGGGACCTGATGCAGGGCTCCATCCCAGGACCCTGGGACCATGACCTGAGCCAAATGCATACACTTCACCGACTGAGCCACCCAGGCGCCCCATGAAAAGTGGTGGTGTCCTGACTTTGCTTGCTGACAGTATGTGTTCGGATGCAAAGTGTTATCTGTATGGTGGCAGAGGAGAAGCTGAGAGAGGTTATTACAAGAGCTAGGATGCTGAACAATGGATCAGTAGTATGAGGCTTTGGAACAGTAGCGTTATATCTGGGCCAGCGCTAGGTAAAGCGGTCAGGCTTGTTCAAGGCAACCGCCATGACTTTCCAGGGGATGACATCATCATCGTCATCGTCATCACACCTGCACACTGAGTGGTAGCTGGGCATCTCCCCAGAGCCATCCAATGGGTTATCTTTGTCATGTGGGTGACCTTAGAAGAGCCACATCTCTACGGAGGGAAGTAACTACAGAGTTAAACTTCTCAGAGCTTCACGGTCTGAGACCCTGGCACCTGTTTACAGACCTTCCCATAAAACACGTGTTGAAAAATCCGCTGAGTCCAGATGCTCCCCATCTCTCTTTCTCTCTGTCTCTCTCACACATACACTTTCAGAAAATTAAAGAATTTCTAAAACATCAAGAAAAAATAACTTCAGGTTACTAATCAGGAAAGCCCCGGGGTCAACTCGATTCACTACTCACTAGCTACGGGACTAAGTGAGTCGTTTAACCTCCCTCTTCCTTCATATATAAACTGGAAAGAAGAATAAGGTTTTCTACTCTGTAAAGTTGTGGGGAATATTCAGGGAGATGATGTATGATGAGTACTTGGTATCATCCGAGTATAGTCCTTTCCTCCATGCACTGGGCTAACGAAAACAAAAAATAGATTTTTTTTCCTCCCCAGGCTATTAAAGAAGCATTTGGATACTTTCCTTAAGGGCGGGAACGGACTGAGAGTATTTTTTCCTCTTTGTGGAAAAGCGGTTGAGATGAAATGGTAAGAGCAAATAAGCATTCATACACTTTCTTTTCTTGATGGCAAATGTGTTGGGTGAATATTTAATAGGATGTAGGTTTAAAAATCCCATTCTCAGGAAATGCACAGGGATTCTTTATGTTCAATAGACTATCACTGATGGGTTCATAGAGATAATATTCTCAAACAGTAAGATACAACACAAACCACTGGTGTGGTCTTGTCTTTCTGTATTGGGTTTCTAAGGAAAAAATATATATATAGTTTGGAACCAATGGTGGGGTTTCAGGGGGTACAGAGGACCAGCTTTCTCTCTTATATCTGCAACATCTTTGTATACGGTTTCATTTTTGTAGGTCGTTTAGGAACTTGGCTGAGTTAATTTTAGATATTTTTAATGGGGGTGGGCAGAAAAATTCAAAATGAATTATAACTCTTTGGCAAGACAATGTGTAGACCATGGTTCAATGTAGCTCTTCCTTCCCACTACGAGTGCATAGGCAATTATTTTCAAGAATCATTTTATAAAACCAGTGATGAGGAAAGTAATTCTTGTGAGTAATTCTCTGTGAAGAGAATTCGCTTTAGTAAGTCACCATTACTACAGATTACCCTAAAGTCACAAACCTGGCAATCATTTTCTATCCGGAACTTAGCTGCGGTGAAAATGCATGGACACTATTTTTTTTTTTAAAGATTTTATTTATTTATTTAAGAGAGAGTGTGAGAAGGAGGAGGGCCAGAGGGAGAAGCAGGCTCCCCGCTGAGCAGAGAGCCCGATGCGGGGCTCGATCCCAGGACCCTGAGATCATGACCTGAGCCGAAGGCAGATGCTTAGCCGGCTGAGCCACCCAGGTGCCCTGCACAGATGCTATTATACACACCAAGATGTACCACTAATTTATAAGCTTGAATGTTGAGAATTTTGTCCATTAGGCAGGAAAGAACATTTCAAAGTATTTATAAAAGAGGTTAGTATATGAAAAATCTAGTAACTTAGAAATGCTCTGTTTGCTATATAAATGTAGGTGGCTGCCCCAGAGAAACCCTAATGCGTTCGGAGCTGGTTTTCCAGGGCAGATGTGGCCTTCTTACAGGCAGCCCACCCACGTGCTCCACTCGTAGCTGAGCATTTGGGACACGGCCGTGGTGGCCTCAGATTCTGGTGCAGCCATGAAATTAATATTTAAACTATATCACTAGACTTATGCTTCCCCGACTCACTGGACTAGAAGAGTTCTTTGAAAACTACTTGCAGGAAAAACATTAACTCTATAAACAGATTGTCTTACTGTCCTGTCATGAAGTGTTAACAATTGAGGGCTAGCAGAGGTTTAGAGACAAGATTAGGAAATGGAATGATAAAACAGACAATCAAATGTGCTTGTCAAAATGTGTCCACATGTGTCGAAATGTGCTTGGGGTCTAAAGTCATTTGTAACAAAAACACCAGAACTAAGCCATTACAATGGTGGGTAAGATTTTGTATCAGAGGGTTTTTCCATTTATGTATCTAATTTGTGTCTTATGGTCTGTCAACGGATCAGCTGTAATCTCATAGTTATCTATGAGATGAGGCCCAACAGCATTAAAATAAAATGTTTAACATCTTTCCTTAGGTTTTTTATTTTTTTAAGTTTTTTGTTTTTTGTTTTTTGTTTTTTTTTTAGTTTTTTTTAGGGTTTTTATTTTTTTGTTCCTTAGGACAATGTAGTCCAACATAATTCAGCCTATGTCAGTCTCTAATAGGCTCTGCTTTTATCTTCAAATGTAAATAAAAATCCTCACAGCCTGGGCGCCTGTGTGGCTCAGGCAGTTAAGTGTCTGCCTTCAGCTGAGGTCATGATCCCAGGGTCCTGGGATTGAGCCCCACATAGGGCTCTCCCCTGAGCAGGGAGTCTGCTTTTCCCACTCCCTCTACTGCTCCCCTGCTTGTGCTCTCTCTCTCTCACTCACTTTCTTTCTCTCACATAAATAAATAAAATCTAAAAAAAAAAAAAAAAATCCTCACAGTCAGTCTGGGTAACTTCGTATGGAGAATTAAAAAATACTAAATTGTCCTCAAGTGGAGGCACTTGGCTAGCTGAGTTGGAAAAGCATGCAGCCCTCGATCTCACAGTCATGAGTTCGAGCCCCACATTGGGCATAGAGCCTACTTAATAAAATAAAAAACGCAATTATTTAATAAATAAGTAAATAATAAAATAAGACATTAAAAGATATTCCCTGTATGTTAACTTACAAATTTAGGCAAGTTATTAATGTGTCTATTTTAGAACTATAAACAGTTTATGCTCTGACCTTGTTGAAAGTGATAGTCTGGGGTGCCTGGGTGGCTCAGTGGGTTAAAGCCTCTGCCTTCAGCTCAGGTCATGATCTCAGGGTCCTGGGATCGAGCCCCACGTCGGGCTCTCTGCTCAGCAGGGAGCCTGCTTCCTCCTCTCTCTCTCTCTCTCTCTCCCTGCCTGCCTCTCTGCCTACTTGTGATCTCTGTCAAATAAATAAATAAAATCTTAAAAAAAAAAAGTGATAGTCTTGTGTGGGCAAGAGGTACAATCAGTTCCCCTCTACCTCTTGTTTTGAAAATGCTAACTTCAGTCGACTGCATTGATAAGTTAGGGAACAACTTGAGCATGATGTGAATTTCACATTCGCTTATGTGTCATTTTGTGTGCAAGAAGCTTGAGGTAAGAGCAGAAAACCACACACAGATGAATGCAGACTAGTGTGAAGGGACAGGATGCTCCCCGGCACCTAGGCTGATCTGTGCGCTGTGAACCCCTCCCAGCCACCGAACTTCCCAGTAATATCCCCCCTACCCCCTAAAGTGCACAGTAACTAACAAGCGGCAGCCCTGCCAACACTCTGGGGTATTTATATATTTTGTAACCATTTTATATATTTTGTAACCATCTAACATGGTTAAAATACCCTACCACCATTTCTGCTAGGTTTCTGGAGCTCTCTCTATTTTTTTAAGATTTTATTTTAAAAGTAATCTCCACACCCAACATGGGGCTTGAACTCACAACCCAGAGATCAAGAGTCACACGCTCTACCAACCGAGCCAGCCAGGCACCCCCTGTCTTTCCTCTTTTTAATGTGGCACTGGCAGGGTTTTTTTTTTTTTTTCCCTTATGCATTATTTATTCAGTTTATTTCTAAAGTGTAACTGTATATTTTTGAGAAAATCCTGATTCACAGAGACAAGTGATGGCAAATGTGTAACAGCTTTTTAAAAAAATTTTAAATTAGGGGCGCCTGGGTGACTCAGAGGGTTAAGCCTCTGCCTTCAGCCCAGGTCATGATCTCAGGGTCCTGAGATCGAGCCCTGCATCTGGCTTTCTGCTCAGCAGGGAGCCTGCTCCCTGCCCTCTCTCTGCCTGCCTCTCTGCCTAGGTGTGATCTCTCTGTCAAATAAATAAATAAAATATTTTTAAAAATTTAAATTAAAGCATAATTGACATATAACGTTGTATTTCAGGTATATAAGATAATGATTTAGTATTTGTAAATCTGTACTTACAGAATTTTTTTTCTTGTGATGCGGACTTTAAGATCTACTCCCTTAGCAACTTTCAGATATTATTAACTGTAGTCACCAAGCAGGGCATTACATCCCCATGGGGCTTATTTATTTCATAACTGGGAATTTTGACCCCCTTCGCTTGTTTTGACTACCCCCAACGCCCACCTCCGGCAACCACCAGTCTGTTCTCTGGATCCATGAGCTTGGTTGGGTTTTTTCTTTTGTTAGATTCCACACACAAGTGAGACCATACAGTATCTGGCTTTCTCTGTTTAACTTACTTCATTGAGCGTAATGCCCTCTAGGTCCATTCCTGTTGTCACACGTGGCAAGATTTCATTCTTTTTCATGGCTGAGTAATATTCCTCTGTGACAGAGTTTTTCAATGTTGTGCTCCACCCTCCCTTTTCCCCATAAACCTTTGGATTTTTATGGCTTGATTTTGCATAACAGTGATTTTTAGGGATGCCTATGTTGCATATAGCAGAACTGCCTGTGTTTATTTAATTTGACAAAAATCAGTGCTGTGTCGCTAACACTGTTTCCTCTGGAGTCCCCAGTCCCACAACTGTGGATTCTGTAATTATAAAGCTTACCAGGAAAACACAAGTTATTTGCAAATGGCAGTTAGATAAATTTCTGGATAGTGTTTATTGTCGGTAAACAAAAATTGTAAGATTGTAAAAATGGATGCTAATGTCCTAGAGCCCTATTCTCTAGCATGGCGGCTACTAGCTACATGTAGCTATTTCAGTTTAAACTAAGTCACACTGCAGGTACCTGGGTGGCTCAGTTCATTAAGCCTCTGACTCTGAATTTCAGCTTAGGTCATGATCTCGGGGTCGTGAGATGGAGCCCCACTAAGCCCAGAGCCTGCTTGAGATTCTCCTTCTCCCTCAGCCCTTTCTCCCCCACCCCCCGCACTTGGCATGCGTGCGCACTCTCAAATAAAGTCTTTAAAAAATAATAATAAAACAATAAACTAGGGGCGCCTGGGTGGCTCAGTTGGTTAAGCCTTTGCCTTTGGCTCAGGTCATGATCTCAGGGTCCTGGGATTGAGCCCCATATCGGGCTCCCTGCTCGGCGAGGAGCCTGCTTACCCCCCTCTCTGTCTGCCTTTCTGCCTACTTGTGATCTCTCTCTGTCAAATAAATAAATAAAATCTTAAAAAAAAAAAAAAAAGAAAACCAATAAACCAAATCACACTAGCCACATTTCCAGTGCTACTAGCCAGTGTGGTTAGTGGCTGCTGTATTGGATGGTACAGGTGCAGACACCTCCATCAGCACAGAGAGTTTTGAAGGGCAGGGCTGATTTAGAGAAACTGAAAAGCATTTCTAATCCACAGGATACAGGGAGCCTGGGTGGCTCAGTCGGTTGGGCGCCTGCCTTCGGCTCAGGTCAATGATCTCAGGGTCCTGGGATCACACCCCATGTCAGGCTCCCTGCTCAAACAGGAGCCTGCTTCCCCTTCTCCCTTTGCCTCTCCCCCAGTTTGTGCTCTCTCTCAAAATAAATAAAAATCTTTTTAAAAAATCCCATAGGATGCTTTTAAATTAGAAACTCTTCTAATCAAACCCATTTGTAAGTAGATCAACATTTTAAGGTATTAGTTTTCCAAATTTTTAATTTTTCCTGAAGTCATATAAATCAGTTTCTCAGAATTCCATGTACTAGTAAGTTTCAGAATAAATAGATCCACTTCTCTACAAGTTCTACGAAACCCAATGACCCCAAATTCATACAAATCCCTTAAAGTTAAGGGAAATGAATGTTTATAGGGATATACCCTTTTATTTAGTACTGTATTTAGAATAAAAATGTAAGTGTAAATATATGATTTCATGCAGGTTTGCAGACCTAGGACACAGTGTCGTAGGTGTGGAAATCAGTGAACTTGGGATACGGGAATTTTTTACAGAGCAGAATCTTTCTTACTCAGAAGAACCCATCACGGAAATTCCTGGAGCCAAAGTTTTCAAGGTTTGTCTTTTTTTGGTAAATACTGATTTCCATATCCCCATAAGAAAGGTTTTTCTTAGCATGGGTTATTATACAAGTGTCACGTGACTCCACTTTCCCACACGGATTCACCCGGACATTACAGAGTTTAAGGAGCTAGGGCTGAAAAAGATAGGTGATCGCCAGACACGCACAAATGTATACAACAGCTGATATCAAAGTCTGTCTATATCCATGGTTTTGGTTTGCATTTGTTTGATTTTTTAAATTTATAAACAGGCATTTCTGAGAATGTCTTGTGCCACACCCTGCGTAGGACACTGAAGAGATAAAAACAGAGTCCATGCCCTAAAGAATCTCTTCACTTAGGAGAGAAGAAAAACACAGAGGAAAGCTGTTTGTCATACACAGAGCTAAGCGTAAAGACACAGGGCAAAATGGGAGCAACAAGGAGCCGGGCATGGTCTCAAATGCCCTGGGAGGCTGGTCCTTCATTCTGAGTGGTAAAGATTTTAAGGAGGAGCATGACTTGGCTGGATTTTTCTTTTGAGACGAACCTTCCTTGCAGCCTCAAGGAAGAGAGACCAGATGGGAAGCTGTGAGCGGAGGTCCGGGAAACAGCTCTCGGAGGCTTGCCCTCGGAGGGCCATAGGGCATATAGAGGGACAGGCAGATCAAAGCAATGTTTAGGATGTCAAATGGGCAGGATTTAGGATTAACTGACTGGGGATGGAGAGCTGAGTTTGCATCTCCAGCCCAGATGACTGGAATGGACCGCGGAGAATAAAAGAGAAAAAAGCTGAGGGGGGAGAGAAAATGAGTTTTGTTTTCAGGATGATGAGTTTGGGGCCCCTGGCTGGCTCAGTGGATAGAGCACGAAACTCTAAATCTCCAGATTGTGAGTTCAAGCCCCATGCTAGGCACAGAAATCACTTAAAAAGAAAATGGATGAGTTGAAGAGAACTATGGAATGGCGAAGGTGTAGGTGGCAAATGGCTTTCTGTCTGGGGGGCAGTGGGTGGCGTTTGGGCTGGAAGTGATCGATCTGGGAGTTGTTTTCATCCTGTGATCACAACAAGCCGGAGGAATGCTTTGCCTGCTTGGGGTAAGAATGTGGGAATTAAAGACCACTCAAATGAGAACAAGCAAGGCCATTTTTTTGGTTTTGTTTTTGTTTTTTTTGGAGGGGCCAGCTTCTGAAAAAGCTCAGAGGCAGGCAGGGGGTGGGAGAGCTTCGTGCTGGAAAACACAGGGAGGCCACAGGGAGGCCATTTGGAGGCTGTGGACACCAGGGAGGCAGATGTGAGCTAAAGAGAGGGGGCATCCTGTGGGATTGGTTTGGGGACTGTATTTGGCTTTCTCAGGTTAACCCTGAGTTGGAAGAGGGAAAGGTGATGAAATTTAGGGAGGCTGGCAGTCATGGACACGTCATCGAGCAGAGACTGTGGCTTGGCTTCCCAGGCTGGCTGTTGCAGCCGGTCCAAGCTCTCTAGTCTGACAGGGTCTGGCCATCATCCATTGGTACATTCAGTCTATTGCAAGGTACTCTGTTTTCTAAATATTGAAACTAATTGTAGGTCAGTAGGAGGCTTAATAGTACTTTATTGTACAGCTTCCTCCCACCCTGTTCTCAAATCATCCCAGGAGTTAACTCAGTCCAAAGACACCAGTCCTGGAGCAGTGGTTCTCAGCCTCGGGGGCACGTGTGCAAAGGCCTCCTGTGGCTCTTAAAAAACTCCTGGTCCCAGGGCTCACCCCAGGCCCATTGAATCAGAATCAGTAGGGGTGGGGCTCAGCATCAGTGCTGTTTAAAGCTCCCCAGAGTTGAGACTCACTGGCTGTGCTCTCTGCCACCTCGCCTGCCCCCCTGGGTGGACCCCCACAGTGCTTCCAGACTGGCCTTCAGAGACCCTTCTACTTGTAAACCACTGTTGGTGCTTCAGTTCAGAATACGATCCAACACGCGCATGTCCTGACCTCTACTTCCTTGCCCTTCACCCAACCCCCAGCCCCCAGGCTTCTCACATCCCCTGGACCCAGCAGAATCCATGTCCCTTTATGCCCCTGGACTGCACCCCCAGCCCCTCTCCCCCTGCCCCGTAATGTTAGCAGACGCTCCCCAGGCAGCTCCTCGCTCCATCTTCTGAGACCCCACGTTCTGGGACATGCAACCAGAACAGCCCAGGCCATCCGGTCCTTAATGCATCTCCCGCCCACACCTCTCTGCTCTACTAGGCTGTCCTCACTGTGGACAGAGCCCGTGTCAGATCCGCACCCCCTTCCTAGAACCCAGGGTGGTTCTGTCCACCAGGGGCTCAGGCAATAAATGCCCACTAGCTGATGAATGAAAGAGAGAAAAGCCAGGAGTCCACACAACTGTACTTTGCACAAATGCCTTTCAAAGTATCTGACCTTCCTTTATCAGCCTGCCTGGTCGTTGATTAACTCGTTTGTTGACCTTTAACAGTGTCAAAATACCAGGACTCTGCTAAAGTCAATATCGCTAAAATGGAGCAAGTCCCCCAAATAATTGCTAATTCATCTTCAGGGTTAATCTCTCTATGATTTTTCTCTTTGAGTGGATCCCAGAGAACCCCAGATAGGCCAAAAAAAACCAAACAAACAAAAAAACTCCCAAAAAGCCCAACTAACCAAACAAACGCAATGAAAGTAAAAAACACAGTGCTGTTTATAAAAATTATTTATAGTAAGGTCTTATTTTATTTCCCATTAAAAAAATTCCTTGCTACAATTACATTCTTCATGTTTCACTCCATATTCTCTCCCCACCACCTTTGCTGTGCCTTTCCCCTCTTATCTTTCCTCAACCATCCAGGTAGCTCCTAACTAAACAGCTTTTTTTTTTTCTTGACTTTCATTACAGAGCTCTAAAGGGAACATTTCGTTGTACTGTTGCAACCTTTTTGATCTTCCCAGGTAGGACTGAATCCTACGTCTGTACATTGAATGCCCGGAGTGCTCACCAGGCAGTGCTGGGGGAGGGGGGGCTTTTGCTGACCCGTGCCCAGTTGGGGTAGCATGGATGGGAGTCTCCGGCCTGCACTTCTTCGGACCACAGCCTACCATGTCTGCACACCTGATAGCTTCGTCCTTGGATAGCTTCCAAAATATGGAGAACATTGTTATGACTCGAGGCTGGGCGGGGGAAGGAAGGAAGAGCAAGACAGTGTCTTCGTTTCACACCTGATCGGTTACAGAAAGGACTGTCAAAGTGTAGAAGGTGGTCTTACCTCCTGAAAGGCCCTGATGCTTCCTTGGGGGGCTGGGAGCAGGTTGTCACAGATTGCCCTGTAGCTCTCCTCTGCGCTCCCAAGTCAGAGCAGAAGGGGGAGGCTACTGCCACCAGCTCCTAAAGCTGGAAGGAGCTCCTCACACCCACATCCACGCATCCCCGCAGAAGTGGGAAAAGCAGCCAGAGATCCGGATCCCTTGACAGCTGGTGCAATACCAACATGCGCCACTAGGGACGCTGTGTTGCTTGTTGGAGACTCAATTTTTTTCTTACGTAAGATGTATTTCTCTTTCTTTTTCTTCCTGCTAGAGCCAATATTGGCAAATTTGACCGGATCTGGGATAGAGGAGCATTAGTTGCTGTGAACCCAGGCGATCGTGAGCGGTTAGTAATTTGGTTTCTTTAATTACGCTGGCTTTCCCTTTTGGGCCTTTTTCATTTAACATGCTGTACTTTTCGTGAGCTCCAGAAAATCAGTTAAGACTTCCACTAGTTTGAAACAGCTTCTTGTATCTGGAATTAGAAGACCTAAATTAAGTACCATCTTTGTGTAAAAAGGATAGGATTTGGCCATGGCCGTGGGGAGCTGGTACCGGCTTGCGGCTCTGTCACTTCCAAGCTGTGTTGCCTTGATCCAAGTACTCAAGTTCTCTGTTGACTCCTCTGCAAGATGGCGGAGTGTCTGCTAATAGGGCCCCCACTTCCCCTACCCCCCCCACTAACCTCACCTGGCACCTGTCTGGGGCACTTGCCATGTGACAGGCATTGCTTGAAACTCTGTCAACACCTTCAATCCACCAAACAACCCTGTGGGGCATATGCCCCATTATTCCCATTTTACAAATGGGGAAGGATGGAGCGTGGAGCCTAGCATGGGGCTTGAGTTATGGTCAAAGAGATCAGGTTGCTTGACCGAAGTCAGGCAGCTGGCACACAACCGAATCCAGACCCAGACCTGGGGAGTTTGGTCGAAGCCCACAGTCACCATCCCCACCTTATTCTCCCTGCAGGAGTTGTGGGGATTAAAGGGAACGACGGATGTGGAAAGTGCCTGGCTATTCTCCATAGCTGTCTGAGTATTAGCTGCCATTATGTCAGAGCTTTGGTTACTGATGATTTTGACCATTCTTACTGTACTTACTCTTATGAAAAAATAAAATTAAAATATGAGAAAGCATACGGAGTAAAACATGGCCGCTCCTAGGTACTTTCCAATCCAAGTATCACTCATGTACTTACTTGGAGAGAGCATATAATTGTTGAATTATATCGTGGGATGGAGGCCAACTCTTAACACCTGTCCAAAGGCTTGCATCCACATCAGTGAAATAAAATTTTTATTTCTTAAAAATCAATTATTTCATGAGTCAAAGCTGATTGCCAAACCTCATCTTCTTTAAAAAGACCATGCCACATTTTCTTTTTTTTCCTTAAAGATTTTAAGTAATCTCCACCCCAATGTGGGGCTCGAACTCACAGCCCCAAGATCAAGGGTCTCCTGCTCTACTGATGAAGCCAGCCAGCCATGTGCCCCTCATGCCATATTTTCTTTGCTTTGCTTTTTTTTTTTCTTTTTTTTCTTTTTTTAAGTAGGCTCCACACCCAGCCTGGAGCCCAACGCAGGGCTTGAACTCAACAACCTTGATATCAGGACCTGAGCTGAGCTCAAGAGTCGGACACTTAACTGACTGAGCTACCCATGAGCCGCACACATTTTCTTAATATATATTTTCCTTTAATGATAATTCACACTCCTGTGTTCCTTTTTCTCTCTGTCGCTACTCCTCCTTTTTCTCCTCCTTCTGGAAGCTTCCCCTTCCTCACACGCATAGAGGCCGTCATTCCCTAAGGGACCATCCTCAGCGTTTGCTTGTGTCTGCCTGCCCCTTACCCTTGCTTCTTTCCTGAGCCCTTCAATTCTGTTACTTTCATTCAGTCATTCAACAAACATGTACTAAGTTCCTGCCATGTTCTAAATACACACTGTGCCCCATGTTAGGGAAATGATGGAACAAATCGTGCTGGTACCTGCCTTTCTCCTTGTTCTATTTCCAGCTCTGGTCTTCACCTGGACATCCACATCACATTTCAACATCTGCTTTGCATTTCTTGTGTGACGTCCATGTGCTTTGGCAACTCACGGTATCCCATGCAGCCGCTTTGTTTCCATAAAACACCATGTATGTCTACTGAACCCACATCTGCTGGATGTCTACCCTTGTCGGTGTTTCCCTCTCCCTGATGATGTTTATCCTTGTCTTTGATTAGTCCTTGCAGGGGCTTGGATATGTGGGCTCAAATCCACAGGGAGGGGAGCAAACTGGAAGTCACAGAGCTCACTTGAAGGGCAGACCAGGCACACTGTCTAATTCCCCCCCTCAGCTGGCACCGTCTACGTCTAGCACATAGTAGGAGCTAAACAAACACTTGTCAAATAAACGAACGAAAGCTGACTGGACTCAGAGCAAAGGAAATCCACTGTTTCCTATAGCCATGACCACCTCCTCTGTCCTAGACATAAAGGCCATCTAAGTGGTACCACAACGAGTCGTGAGACCCATCTAGAAGTCTTGTTTAAGGCGTTCAGTTCTAGCTTAGCCACAGTCTCTGTGTCCTCCCTGGTTCCTCCTCTCTCTTTTCTCGAAGCCCAGCCCTGTGTGTGTGTGTGTGTGTGTGTGTGTGTGTGTGAGCACAGCCTCAAGCACACCTGAGAACATGTTGGCCTTCATTACCAGAATAACAGCTTCTGTCAAGCCAGCAGAAAAATGCATTTCTTTATCTTCATCCTGGTACGTCACATGTTCGAACTTTATCTCATTCCTGTCATTAATACCTGCTTTGATGGCACGCAGGCAAGTCCTGAGCTGTTTGCTGCTGGGCCCCTCAGCTGTCTGGCTTGACTTAAATCACTGGGCAAACCTCTCTCATTTTTCTGAATTTTTTGGAAAATGGTTGAGAAAGGCGGCATTCCAGAGGGAAGGAAGTGTGTCAGTCCCAGGACACCTGGCCAAACCAGTCTGACTGATCACCTTTATGGGGACGGCACTTCCTCCTCCTTTTTTTTTTTTAAAGATTTATTTTTTCATTTTGAGAGAGACAGAATGTGAGCGGGTGGGGGGCATAGGGAGAGAGAGAGAATCTCAAGCAGAACTGAGGGGGGAAACCAACACGGGGCTCAGTCTCCCGACCCTGAGATCATGACCTAAGTGAAACCTAAAGTCATTTGCTTAACAGACTGAGCCACCCCAGTGCCCCACTTCCTTCTTCTTAAGACCAACAATCAGAAAGTTAAGGTTTTTCTTTTAAAGATTTTATTTATTTACTGAGAGAGAGAGAGAGAGCCCACTCGTGAGCATGGGGGAGGGGCAGAGGCAGAGGGAGAGGCAGGCTCCCCGCTAAGCAGGGAGCCCGAAGTGGGACCCTGAGATTGTGACCGATTGTGACCGACCTCAGACGCTTAACTGACTGAGCCACCCAGACACCCCAGGGTTTTTTGTTCAAAAGTTTACTTTGGTCCAGCACTTTCTCTTGGAAGGATATGTGACCCCCTTGAGCCAACCCTAACTGGGGGAGTCAGCTAAAGAGAATAACAAAAACTAACCTGGGTGCTTACCTCACACCAGGCAACGTTCTAAGCACCTCATGTGTGTAAACTCATCGAATAGGCACCACAACCTGTGAGTCGGTTCCTAGTCTCATCCCCATTTTACAGATGAGGAAACTGAGGCCCGCAGAGGTTAAGAATGTGTCAAGCTCATGTAGCCGCTAAGTGGAAAGGCTGGGCTTCAAGCCCTGGCATCTGGCGAAGCCCACACTCCTAGCCCCCATGTAAGCCCCTCCATCCCCAATTTCTCACAGAGCCCGGGGCAGGGGTCACACTTCATCCAAGCCCAGCAGAAATCCGAGTGCCTGGAGCCAAGGCGCCTCTCTCAGAGCTGGGCAGGCTGTCCGTCTCTGTCTGCCTGTCCCTCACGGCACCTCTACCTCCTTGTGCCCGTCTCCTCCGTCCTCCTGCCTGGCCATTCGGCTTCCCCACCTCCTCCACCTCTGCTCCCACATGTCTGACTTCTTACAACCCCCAGGGCCAACCAGCACACCCCAAGAGAGCTCCAGCTCCAGCTCCACCTCCAGCACAGTGACGACAGCTAACCAGCACCGCCTTCCTGGGGCTCTCAGTTCCATTTCCCAGCACAGTCATCAGACTGGCCCAACTCCACATTCTATACTGGGCCCAGGTCCTGCTCCTGATCACTGTGCTGATGGGCCCCGTCCCAGGCAGTGCCCCCGTTCTGAACCCATCAGACCTGGCCAGGATGTGGCATCACCTGCACCCAGGACACCTACACAAAGGACTGGGCCAATAACACCCAGGGTTTACGTGGTATTTGCTGGGCTTTGATTTCATACCCCCTTGAATTTTTTGTCTTTTTTTTTTTTTTTATCTATTTATGGGGCGGGGGACAGAAGGAAAGAGAGAGAATCCCAAGCAGACTCCCCACTAAGCCTGGGGCCAGACAGGGGCTCGAGCTCAGGACCCTGAGATCATGACCTGAGCTGAAAACAAGAATCGGAAACTTAACCCAGTGAGCCACCAGGCGGCCCTGTTTATTAGTCTTGTCCCTCTTCAACACGATAGAGGAAAGGGGTTGTGTTTTGTACTTCTCACACATGCCCCTGGATATTGTTATCAATAACCAATAACCAGCCCCCCAGGATACTGTTAAGCTGCAGCATCCCAGGCCCTACAGCAGACCTCCCGAATCGGGCTCTGAGGCTAGAACTCAGGCATCTTGGTTCCAGCAACGCTGGGGTGACTGGTCCCCAGCCTGATCCGGGACACCCTGCCCCAGAGCTTTAGTGCTGTGTGTGTGCGTCCAGAGACCCTCATCAGGCTGGAAGGAGCCTCTGCTCAGCTGTATGTGACATCTTCCAGTCTGATGGGCTCTGGAAGCCCACCCCCGTTTGAGTCCTGTCTTTACTCTTGCCCAGCAAAGGCAGGTGATGGAATTTGCTGACTCTTTCTGACATTTAGGATGCGAATTGACTTCAAGGGGTTGTTACGAGAATGAAACTCAGTAATGTAGAGGGCCGTGACCTGGTTTCCCTCCCTGCCTCTCTCCCCCTGCAGGCCTTGCCTTTGTGGAGAAATGTAACCCTTACCCTGTTGTGTTCCTTTCAGCTATGTGGATGTCATCCTGTCCCTAACGCGGAAAGGGTTTCACTACCTCTTGGCCACTCTTTCTTATGATCCCACTAAACACGCAGGTAAAGTTTCTTTTGTTTTTCTTTTTTCTAAGATGTTGCCTCATTTCCTGATTTAATTCTATGACACGGATAGCACTACTGGCTCCCAATTTAGATCACAGGAAGAATATGGCTTTTTTACCCAGGAAGAAAAGTCTGGTTTGGGTAAATGGAAACTATAAACCTTTTGTCCCTCTTCCCACCTGATACAAGTTTTTCTTGTCTTCCATTTCGTTCACGGTTCCCAGCTCAGACTACAGAAGACAGGGAGAAATGGATGGCCCTAATATAAAAGCGAGGTCTCATGAAGTTTGGAGTAGGAAGAAGAGAGACTGTTTGCCCTGCTTGAATATAGCCTGTATGTTTTATCCCCGCTGTGGGGGACGTGTTAGGTGCACGCCTGCAAACACACACACAGACACACCGCCTCTAGGACAACGGGTGAGACATGGATGTGCGGTGATAGGAGATGTGCAGAAAAATCCCTGCACTATTATGGCTTTTTACTGCTGAAATTTTACAATTTATTGCATTCTTTAATAATGATCGTTGTTTTGAACTTATCAAAGTGAGGTTTTCTTCTGGATTCCTTTTGATGGGTTTCAACGTTGTAGGTTTAACCTTTGCCATGACTGATCTTTTATTTCCAGGAAGAAGTGAAAACGAAATACATAGACTTTTATTGTAAAAATCACCTTTTTGATTTTTTCACAGAGTTTTAAAATTTTTTTTAAAGTGCGGCTTTTTATAAATAATTACATAGGCTCGTGTTGTTTTTTTTCTGTTTGAGTAAATCAGATCTTAAAAGCTCATTAAAAGATGAGCTCTAGTGTCCATAATTAAGTCTGGAACAATCAGATGGAAATGGAAATTAATGGAGACAGACCTCAGCCCTGCTAATCTGATTTAAATTCCATTCCTGAACAGGAAGCTTAAGGCAGGGCTTGTGGGCAGAAAACACAACAGGCTCTGTCTAGGGCTGGAATTCAGAATAGCTCTTGAAAGGAGCAGAAGCTAAATTTTCTTTAAAGTACATGGCCTGCAGCAAACTGGGAGGGATGTGTAGAGAGTGATTGAGTGTAGGAGTCACTGGAAATCAGTACTCCAGAAGATGAAGGAAATGCCAAGGAATTTGTTAATGAACTTCATTCTGATTTTAAAATTCCCAAGTCCCTAAAACTAGACAGCAGCATGCAAAACAATGAAACTGGACCACTTTCTATACATAAAAATAAATTCAAAATGGATAAACGATCTATATGCAAGACCTGAAACCATAAAAATCCTAAAAGAGAACACAAACAGTAACTTCTTTGACATTGACCGTAGCAACTTCTTACTAGGTGCCTGTCTTAAGGGAAACAAAAGCAAAAATGAACTATTGGGACATCAGTAAGATAAAAAGCTTCTGCACAGCAAAGGGAAAAATCAACAAAACTAAAGGGCAACCTTTGGAATGGGAGAAGATACTTGCAAATGACACAGCTGATAAAGGGTTAGTATCCAAAATCTATAAAGAACTTATAAAACTGAACACCCCCCAAATTAAATAATCCTGTTAAGGAAAAGGCAGAAGACATGAATAGACATTTTTCCAAAGAAGACATGGAGACGGCCAACAGACACAGGAAAAGATGCTCCACATCACTCAGCATCAGGGGATACAAATCAAAACCACGATGAAATATCACTTCACATGCCTGTCAGAATGGCCAAAATTAACAACACATCAAACGACAGGTGTTGGCGAAGATGCAGAGAAAGGGGAGCCCTCGTGCACCGTTGGAGGGAACGCAGACTCATGTAGCCACGCTGGAAAACAGTATGGAGGTGCCCCAAAATGTTAAAAATAAAACTGCCCTACAACCCAGCAACTGTACTATTCAGTATTTACCCAAAGGATACAAAAATACTGATTCAAAGGGATACATGCACCCCAATATTTATTGCAGCATTATTTACAACAGCCAAACTATGGAAAGAACCCAAATCCCAAATGTTCATCGAGTGATAAATGGATAAAGAAGATGTGGTATGTAGATATATGGTGGAATATTACTCAGCCATGAAAAAGCGAAATCTTGCCATGTGCAACAGTGTTCATGGAGCTAGAGATACAATGCTAAGCAAAATACGTTAAAGAAAGATAAATACCATATGATCTCACTCATGTGGAATTTAAGAAACAAAACAGATGAACATATGGGGCAAAAAAAAAAAAAGAGAGGGAGAGAGAAAGAAAAGGAAACAGACTTTTAGGTGTGAGAACAAACTGAGGGTTACCAGAGTGGGGGTGGGGGAGGCGTTGCAGGGGGTTGAGTGATGAGTATTAAGGAAGGCACTTGCGATGAGCACTGGGTGTTATAGGGAAATGATGAATCACTAAGTTCTACACCTGAATATTACTCTGTATATTTACTAACTGAAATTTAAATAAAAACTTGAGAAAGGAGGGCACCCGAGTGGCCCAGATGGTTAAACTTCTGCCTTTGGCTCGGGTTGTGATCTCAGGGTCCTGGGATCAAGTCCTGCATTGGGCTCCCTGCTCAGCGGGGAGCCTGCTTCTCCCCCCTCTCCCTATGCCTGCCTCTCTGCCTACTGGTGATCTCTCTCTCTGTTAGATAAATAAATAAAGTCTTTAAAAAAATAAAAAAAAACTTGAGAAAGGAAAAAAATAAATAAAAGATCCCAAGTTCCATGTCTGGCCTGGCCGTGTCACCGAAGCTGGAGACGGGCACCCAATGCTGGCATCCCCCCAGGTAAGCCGGTATGACACATGCAAAGGAAGTAGCAGAGGAATCGGTCACATCCTTACCAACCCAAGAATTCAGCTGAGTATGGAATAATTCTACCTAAGTCCCGGAAATCAGCTGAGCAGTGGGCCCTGAGAATTTCTCTCTAGAATTAGATCTGCAAAAATTCCTCTTCACCTGCTTTCTCTTTTACCTAGGCCCACCATTTTATGTTCCAGATGCTGAAGTCAAAAAATTATTTGGTAAGTTATTTCTATTTAAAATAAAGTCAACAATTAGCCGTTTGAGCTGTTACCACCGATTCGTCTCTGGAAGTCTATAAAATCTGGAAGCCAGAAACCCTTTTACTGAAGAATATTTTATCCGAGAAAAGGGACCGATCTCTGTCATATGCCTTTTTAGCTAAGTGGTTGTGCTTGTGTGAGAGGCATTTGAATTCTTCCAGACAGAACGTGTGTTTCATTTGGGTCTTAGGAGTTCTAAGTGGTAATAGCAATCCAGAGGTCCGTTTGCCCTTAGTGTTTCCCCATTTTCATTAAAAACAAAAATGGGGTGCGTGGGTGGCTCAGTCGCCTAAGTGCCTGCTTTTGGCTCAGGTCCTGATCCCAGGGTCCCGCCTGCTCAGCGGGGAGCCTGTTTCTCCCTCCTCCCTCTGCTCCTCCCCAACTCATGCATGTTCTCTCTCTCTCTCTTGCTCACTCTGTCAAATAAATAAAACCTTAAAAAATAACTTCTTAAGAAAAAAAAAAAAGAGGGGGCGTGGCTGGCTCAGTTGGAAGAGTATCTGACCCTTGATCTCAGGGTCATGAGTTAGAGCCTTACATTGGGTGTAGAGATTCTCTTAAATAAAACTTTTAAAAAAGAAAAGAAAAGAAAAATCTTCAGTAACACTACTTTTATAAAATGATTTGATGAGTTTTTAGAAGAACCCCGATTGCATTGTTCTTTTTTTTTTTTTTTTTAGATCATTTATTTATTTATTTGACAGAGAGAGAAAGAGACACAGCAATAGAGGGAACATAAGCAGGGGGAGTGGGAGAGGGAGAAGCAGCTCCCACTGAGCAGGGATCCCGATGCAGGGCTTGATCCCAGGACTCTGGGATCATGACCTGAGCCAAAGGCAGACGCTTAACCGACTGAGCCACCCAGGTGCCCCACATTTTTTTTTTTTTTAAGATTTTACATATTTATTTGAGAGAAAGTGAGCGTAAGCAGGGAGAGGAACAGAGGAAGAGGAACAAGTAGACTCCAAGCTGGGTGTGGAGCCCGACAGGGGGCTTGATCCCAGGACCCTGTGATCTTGACCTGAGCCAGGATCAAGAATGAGATACTCAACCAAATGAGCCACCCAAGTGCCCCTCCATTTCCTTCTTCATTAACAATTTCGCTTGTTTCCCTTTCTTCTTGTTGCAGGTTCATTATGCAACATCCATTGCCTTGAGAAGGTTGATGTTTTCAAAGAACAACATAAAAGTTGGGGAATTGACTGCCTTGTTGAAAAGTTGTATCTATGTACGGAAAAGTAAATGAGACAAGTAAAAAGTGATATCAACATGTTTTTGGGCAACTGACGGTTATGCTAAGGCGAGAAACTATACTGGATTGCTCTTGAAAAAAACTGTTTATAAATCACATTACAGATCTTTGCTCATAAATGTGTATAACTTTATAGAAAAGAATACAACTAAATTGTTAAAGTAGCTACCTTTAGAAAGGAAAGTGTAATTGGAGGGGTCAAAGATTATACCTGTTTTACTTGGAGATTGCAAGAAATTTTTTACAACCAGCATGTGTTGTATAATTAAAAAAAATTAAAAATTAAATGGCTCCCAGCTGTCTCAGTGGGTGGAACTATGTGAATCTTGATCTTAGAGTCATGAGTTCGAGCCCTACATTGGGTGTAGGAATTACTTAAAAAATCTTTCAAAAAAAATAATTAAAAATGTAAAATAATTTTTTAAATAAATTAAAAATAATAAGTAATTTTTAAAGTAAAAATAAAAATAAATGCAATTCACATAACTTAAAGAAACAGAATAGGCAGAGAAATGGATACTTTTTATGAATTTTAGAACCACTGAGGCTATGTAACACTTTACTAAGGTTCAAGGTAAAAGACCAAGAAATGTATACGAAATATTAGCTTTACTGTAAACCCTTATCTTATCCTCAATCTGAGCAGCCCTTTTCATTTTTTTTCTCCTTAGATAATTTTATGGGTAACAGAATCAAGAAGCATATTTTAAAAAATATTAAACCAACCTATATGGAAAAGGATATTTTCCCCAAGCTGTTAAAAAAGTACAAATTTTGGGGGTGCCTGGGTGGCTCAGTGGGTTAAAGCCTCTGCCTTCTGCTCAGGTCATGATCTCAGGGTCTTGGGATCGAGCCCCACTTCGGGCTCTCCGCTCAGCAGCGAGCCTGCTTCCCCTTCTCTCTGCCTGCCTCTCTGCCTACTTGTGATCTCTGTCTGTCAAATAAATAAACAAAATCTTTAAAAAAAAAAAAAGTAAAAATTTTAAGAAGGTTTTTCTCTAAGTTTGGCAGGGTTTTTTGGTTGTTTCGTTTTTCTTTGTTTAATCTTGTTTAAGTGCTAACATCTTACGAGCTACAGTGTACTTGGGGCTGGATTCATGACTGTTCCTTGATTCACAGCTTCTCTGTTTTTCGTTAGCATCACATTTTGTTATCTCAGACATCTCTCTCCTGTACAACTTCATACCCAAATGATCGGGATTATTCAGCTCATGTTAATAGGATGGTGTGTATTATTAAAAAAAAAAAAAAGCGGTTACTTGATGGTGTGTGTGTGAGAGAGAGAGAGTGTGTGTGTGTGTGTGTGTGTGTTTGTGTGTGCGCTGTTGGTAATGGGGAAGTTTATAAACCCCTTCAACATTGATGAAATCTACAAACACTCTCCCCAGAAATATGTCATAAGCAGAACGCCACGAAAACTTCCTTGGGCTTCAGAGCTGTCGACCTCCCCACCACTTCTGCCCCATGTAGGAAGTGTCTTCTTCTATGCTCTCAGCCACTGGTCTTATTCTAATCCTTATCAGGCAGTTAAATGGGAGTCTCCAGTCTCACAACGGTCCTTTCCTCTCTGCGACCTGCCTCCATCCAGAGCATGAGGTTCCAGAACCCATGACCACCCGACTCCGCCTCTGTAGCCAGTCGAATGAACCAAGGATAGACAACTGACTTGAGTTGGGCCAATCCGATTCTCTTCGGGGATTGTCAGGATTGTGGTGGGAAAAGCAAGGTAGCCGCTGATAGGAGACACAACTGGAGTGTGGCCCCAGGGACCGTGGAGCCGCCACAGTCCACCACACAGATCTGAGAACTAGAGCACACTGATCTGCAGAAAGAGAAGTGGAGATGGGAGCTGGAGAGGGGCCCCCGGTGTTCCAGGTTTCTATTTCCCCCCCTTCCTAAAGCCCAGCTGCACTAGGGAGAATGCCGCATGTCCCTCTGATATAGACCTCTTTTTTCCTTGCACCCAAAGAATCTTAAATAAAATTGAGATATTCTTATGTAGTTGATTTTTTTTAAAAAGAGATTTATTTATTTGAGAGAGCAGGGGAGGGGGAGAGGTAGGGGAGAGGAAGAGACGCAAACTCTCCACTGAGTGTGGAACCCTACGCCGGGGGGGCTCCATCCCATCACCCCGGGATCATGATCCAAGCCGAAATCAAGAGTCCGGTGTTCAGCCGGCTGGAGAGACCCAGGCACTCCTGTAGGGTTTTTTGTTGTTGTTGTTTGTTTGTTTGTTTTTACATATCATGTGCCCTCATTGGGAGAATACTGACCTTTTAAAAAGTCTCAAATGGTAGATACACTATATATAGTTCTAGAGCTACTGAATTGTTTTTAACATTTTCTAAAAACGACTTTTATTTAATTTTGGATTTTAAAGAATAGCTTTTTTGAACCTCTGTGCCCTGCCAATAGCGATTTACGAAACGCCTGCCCTAAGTAGCAGGCACGCATTCACGAGCATGTACACTCAGCGTTTCCGCGGCAGGCGGGACAAAACAAGAAAAGTGTGTAACAGTCTGCCTGGATGGGTGTGGAAAGAAAAATACAAGCTTTTCAAAGCTTTATCGCCTGCCTGTGGCGAGCTGGAGATTGGGTTGTCCAAAGGGTTAATGCTGTGGGGACCACAGAAGGTTGCCTGAAAGAGATGTGAGGGTTACTGTCCCATAAAGGGGATTACTGGGCAAAAGAATGAAGGGACAAATAAAAACACGACCCAAGAAGAAGTACTCCAAATAAATTTTTCCCATTTTCCACTGTAGTGCATACCTGTCATTGTTTATTTGAATAAGGAAGAGCGATTCAGAAATGTTTATGCAAATGTATATATATGTATACGGTACACTTTCTTCGAAGGTCTGTCTTTTAAAAAATAGAAATGGTCAGGGTGCCTGGTGGCTCAGTCGTTAAGCATCTGCCTTTGGCTCAGGTCATGATCTCAGGGTCCTGGGATGGAGCCCCACATCTGGCTCCCTGCTTGGCGGGAAGCCTGCTTCTCCCTCTCCCACTTTCCCTGCTTGTGTTCCCTCTCTCGCTGTGTCTCTCTCTGTTAAATAAATAAATAAAATCTTTTAAAAAATAAAAATAAAAAATAAATAAAAATGGTCTTTCATCTGACAGCTCTGACTTTCCCTCCCTTCTTATCTGATGTGCTTTCTTTTTTATGAAGTGTTACATTACAAATTCGCCAGAGTGGCTAAGTTGATGGGGACAGAATAGAATTCCATATACATACCTTAAAGATCAAAGTCACTCTGCTGGGTTTCAACAAAGAGTCACATCCCAGTTTTGTTCATTGTGTGTCGCTTTTATGCATGAACTGAAAAGATACGTCTAAAAACCTGTGACCCCTAACCACTGGGTCTTCACAGACATTTGTTTCAATATTGGTTTTTTTTTTTTTTAAGATCTTATTTATTTATTTGACAGATAGAGATCAAGTAGGCAGAGAGGCAGGCGGAAAGAGAGAGGGGGGAAGCAGGCTCCCTGCTGAGCAGATAGCCTAATGTAGGGCTCCATCCCAGGACCCTGGGATCATGACCTGAGCCGAAGGCAGAGGCTTTAACCCACTGAGCCACCCAGGTGCCCCAATATTGGTTTTTAACACTAGGAGCTCGAAGGAAGATGATCAAGGGAAGTATTTAGCAATATAATAGACCATGAAACATTAACACTTATTTATATTGAAATAATAATAAAATAATACTTTCTCACTGCAGACAAACTCAGGAAGCACAGGAACATCTAGAGAAGAAACACAAAAGTGACCAAATCCTATCATTAGAGAGAATGACTGCTAATTCTGTGTTGCATTTTCCTGTTTGTCTGCTCCTACCTGGGGATGTTGCGGACACGTGTATGTTTCAGCAAAGCTGTGATCAATTCCAACACAGTACTGTATCTTTTGTGTCTTCTCTGGTGTTTCATCTGCCCTTCCCTCATGTCACTAAGGATTTTTTAAAAACAAGATTTTTTAAAATAGCTTCATCATGTCCTACCATATGGCTGTACCACGATTATGTCATCTTTCCCCCCGAATAGATCTGTCCAGAAAATGTAAGTAGTCTTGCATGTGCTAGAGGAAGATGGATGGATGATTGAAGGCAGTCCTGTTCCAAGGAAGCGTAGGCTCTTTGGGCACAGACTGCACATGGAGCATCATTCTACAGTGTCCTAAGCTTGCATTAGGGGTGTGTGCAGGGAATGGCCACTCCCACCAGGATCGAGGGTGACACCACTCAGCCAGAGCAGATGGGAAGAGAAGAAGATCGAGGATGGCACCCTGTGACACCTTTTTAAAATTGAGAAACATTAAAACGTCCAGGTTCCCGTTGCCCACCGTACATCCCGGCTCGTTTTCCGGCAGGCACTTCCAGACATCCGAGCTTGGATCACCACTCCCACCTCCGCCAAATCTCTCGCCCCTGAGAAAGCACACACAGGGGGCAAGAGCGACAAAATCAGATAGCTGGTCAGAGTGGGTGCTGGAAGACAAGATGGCCTGGGGGAGAGGAAAGCCGGAGACATTCCCCACAGCCCAGGGCAGGGTCCACGGAATCACAGGCCGGCCCGAAACTCAAACCGGACCAGCGCGAGAGGGATTCAGGTTGGCAAAGGGTACTCTCGCTCTTGGGGGCCCGTAAGCCCGTGCGAAAGCTTCTGCTGTCTTTGCTCCTCCTTTAGAAGATTGTGCATCTCCTCCCTGATAGAGATTCTTCTTTCCTATGGGCTTTCTCCCCTTCCTTTCTTTCCAGTCACTGTCAGGTACAGACTGGGATGTAACGGCGTCATTGGAATCATTCCAGGATTCCTTCGAAACGGCACATGAGTGGCATATCTTGCCACACTTGCAAAGCCAGGAGTCCACGCACCTGAGCACCAACTCCCTCCTATGATTCGTCAGCCTCACCTCTGCTGCAAACACCCTGAGCTAGGTCCCCGTTTCCCCTCTCCTGCCCCTTTTCTGTTTTTCAGATTTTTTTTTTGCCCATACCCCTCAGCACTTGTTCTAGGTAGAAGCAGGAAGGCACGGGTGGGCTCTTCCAGAACCTTCTAAGTGAGGCATATTGGAGGGAAGCGTGGGGGAATTCCCCGGAGATCCAGCCATGAGGGAGGAAAGATTCATCATAGGAAGCTCCAAATGTTAAAGTCAGACTCAGGGTATTGCTTTTGTTAATCAGTGTGTGTATGTATGTATCAGGATTAGACTCAATAAGGTATTTGAAAAACCTATCAGCATTGACTCTA